TTATTTAGGAATCACTTTTTACAATGGAATAGTAACTGGCTTCTTATTTTTCTGGAAAGGGGTAGATGCTTGGGGTTTTCTTCTTCATCTGTAAAAAGTACCTTACAGACTGGGCATGGGAGCTCACACCACATCCCAAAGTGCTGGCATGAGGAGGCGAGGAGATTGCCTGAACTCAGGAGTTGGAGACCCGTTGGGGCAACTTAGCGAGACCTCATCTCTACAATAAATCAAAAAATTAGCCAGGTGTGGTGACACGTGCCTGTAGTCCCAGCTACTTGGGAGGCTGAGGCGGAAGTATTGCCTAAGCCCAGCAGGTGGAGGCTGCGGTGGCTGTGATCGTGCCACTGCACTCCAGCCTGGGTGACAGAGTGAGACTTCAACTTAAAAAAAAATACAATGTCCCCACACTTTGAACATAAACACTGAATTTGGATAATTGTCCTGGATTTTTCAAACTGGATTGGCCTTATTTTAATGATCCCGGGGGTCCCACAGAAGTTAATCCCCAGGAGTGGGGAACAGGGCTGGAAGCCGGTGACCCCAGGCTAAGGTCAGTGTGAGCCTCCAGCGGGGGAACGTGGAGCTGGTCCTCTCAGAGCCTTCTCGCTGTGTCCCAGCTGCTCACACCATCGTAGAAGGAGCTGGCTACATTGGGCCCAGCCGTGACCTGGAAAGCCAGACCCACATGCCCAGGTGGACGGGTGGGGTGATGCCATCTTGGCCTTCTCTGTCTGAGACTGAATTCTGCCACTGGCTCCATTTCTGTGTCAACCAAATTGGTGGTGCCGAAGTGCCGTTTGTGTCAATGGAGAAGAAGGACACTCGTGAGGGTCGCAGGCGGCTGTGTGGATTCTGTCCCTGGAGAAAGGGCCCAGGAAGTGGGAAGATGGCTTATTCTCTGTGAGGATTTCTTGCATCTTGTTGTCTAGGAGTGAGGTGACAGGCATCCTCATTTTGTACCTCATTGTGTCAAGAAAGTGTTGGGCCCAGCGCCATTTCGGCCTCCTTCCTGAACATTCTCTTCATGTCCTTTAATCATGCTAGGAATGTTACAGTTATTCCTCCGCTGCTGAGAGTTACTGTCGTGGATTCGTGTTGAGTAGCGTGACATCAGAATATTATAAGATTAGAGACCAGTGGATGCCTAGATGTTTAGAGATTTTTTTTTTTGAAAATGCAGGATTAGCCAGGCTCGGTGACTCAGCCTGTAATCCTGTGCCTCTGGGAGGCTGAGGTGAGTGGATGGCCTGAGCCCGCGGGTTCGAGACCCGCCTGGGCAGCGAGACCTCATCTCTTAATAAAT